CATGGCGCCCAGAGGCCAGTCCATGGCCTGACCCAGGACACCTCTGCCTGCTTTCTGGGTGGGTTGTGGAGGGTTTCAGCAGCTGCTGTGGGTTGAACTTTCTGGATGTCTGGGCCATTGTGTGACAGAAGTCGGTGCAGCTGAGTGCGTGCAGGGAGGCGCAGGAGGGCGGGCTGTGCGGGGCAGCGCGGCTGCGGCTCAGCCTCGGCTCTGCCTGGGCCCTGTCCAGGCTGCGCGGCTCACCTCCCGCAGCCGCCACGCACACGCTCACGGGGATCTGACACCATCGCAGCTGACACACTGCACCTGCCTCCCTCCCCCCTCAGCCCTCACCCCGTACTCGGGCAGCCATGTCTAGAGAGAGGGGGGACAGTGTGGGCAGAGCCCAGGAGGCCGCACCATGCAAGGGCCGGTCCCGTTGCCTCCGGCGCAGATCATGTCATCTGTGACGTTAGCACCCCAGTACTTCCGACAGTCGGGAGTGGACACGAGGGGCAGCACTGCCTGCTGCAGCGTGGGTGAATTCTCAGTGTCTAGAAGGGCGGGGGAGTGAGTGGTCAGTGCGCATGCCCCTCTCCCCCAACCTGGCAGCTCCCACCCCATCCACCCCATCAGCCCAGTGGAAGGGATGCTTACTGGGCAAGAGCGTCTGGCCCCAGCCTGTGATGACGCACGGTGACCCTGGCGGGAAGTCAGCCTCGTCACAGGCCAGGCACACGGCGGACACAGTGTCGGTGAAGCGGGCCGGGGTGGCCAGTTTCAGCAGCGCGATGTCATTGTGCACAGGCTCTATACTGGCATCGGGGTTACTGATCACCTGTGGAGGAGACCAGAGTCCCAAGTGAGACCCAAGGAGGAGCCCAGGCTCTGCGATCTTCTGGGGACCAACTCCTTCCCTGGGGGTCCGTCCAGCAGGCCCGGCTACCTCTGCAATGTCCAAGACCTGGACATCCTCCTCATCAGAATCCAGATTAAACTCCCCTGCCACCACCTTGTCAGCTGTCCTACACATGGAGACAGGTAGGGGTGAGACGGGAGAGCGGCCTTCTCCCTTCAACCCTGTGAAGCCCCAGGCTGCCCAGGACTCACGTGACCATACAGTGGGCAGCAGTGACCACCCATTCCTCACTGATCAGGGCGCCACCGCAGAAGTAGATGCCATCTTTGTACTGGAGAAGTAAAAGGGGACCATCACAATTCCCACCGGGACAGCACCCCACGCTGCCCCCTGTGCCCAGAATCCACTCTCACCTGAATGTACACCATCCAGGGCCAGGAGCCAGGGACAGCGTCCTCCCCACCGACCACCCTGGACAGCCCACTGACCTCAGGAGGGATGGCGGGGATCCCGCAGCCTGGGGGAGCCAGGAGGTGACAGTCAAAAGTGGGCACTGAGACCCCGCCACATCTCACCTCCCACCTCTTGTCTCCTCTCACCCTTGGGGGACCTCAGCTGGCTCCTCCCTTTCCCTCTCTGAAAAGCCAGCCTGACTCTCCCCTCCCCCACAAACCAGAATCCCACAGCTCAGCGTGGTGGGCGCAGGCCCCCGGTGGGAGGCTCAGATCCTTGCGCCCCACTCAGCTCTCCTTCCAACGAAAACCCAACAGGAGGAGGTGCGGCGGTCAGCAGGGTCCCAAGGCTGCCTAGCTTAATCACACAGCTCAGAATCTCAGTTTCCCCATCAGCACCCTGGGGGCGCCACTGTGAGGGCTGCGACGAATGATCGACCAAGTGCTTGCTCCATTCCTGGGACAGAGGAAGCACTGAATAAATAGAGTTTTAAAAGGACAAGCTTCACCGGGCACCAGTGGCTCACGCCTGTAATCCTAGCTCCTCGGGAGGCTGAGATCTGAGGATCGGGGTTTGAAGCCAGCTTGGGCAGGAAAGTCAATGAGACTCTTATCTCCAATAAACCACCAGAAAACAGGAAGTGGTGCTGTGTCTTAAGTGGTAGAGCACTTTTCTTGAAGAGCTCAGGGACAGCACCTAGGCCCAGGCTTCAAGCCCCAAGAAAGGACAATTTTCTAGTGGCTTTTTCTAGTCCTAGCTACTCAGGAAGCAGAGCTCTGAGGACCATGGTTCAAAGCCAGCCTGAGGAGACAGTCCTTGAGACTTTAATCTCCAATTAACCACCAAAAACTAAAAACTCCAGAAGTGGAGTAGTTGCTCATGTGGTGGAGTGTTAACCTTGAGCAAAAAAGCTTACACACAGTGCCCATGCCGGAGTTCCAGGACCAACAACAGAAAAAAAAAAAAAAAAAAACCGTCAGGCTTGGGCAGGCAGGGCTGAGGGGGCCGAGCCGCCACTGCCCCTTCAGTCTGTCCCTGTGCCCCGCACGGCCGCATCACCGCCTCCTCCACAGAGACACAGACCGGCTGCGCAGCGATGCAGAGGGTCCGGCTGCCAGGGTCTCAGGGGGTCTGGGGAGCAGGGGGAGCTGGGACCTGTGTCTTTCTCCCAACACCCCCTGCAGCCATGAGGCCAGTGAGGGGGAAGAGGACAGGGACTCACTCATGCTCACAGCAAGGTGCCCAGCTACACGGAGCGCAGACCAGGGTGAGGGAACCAACCTTCCTGCCCAGCGAAGGCAGAGCCCAAGACAGCCCAGCAGCCCAGGAGCCAGAGGCCCAGCATGGTGTCGCCACCACACAGCTGCGTGTTACCTGCCGGGCTCCTGCTATATACCATGGCGCCCGCTGTTATCTGAGACCTTGAATGGAGAAGCCCTTTTCTGGGCGCGTGTCCAGTGGGCAGCGTGTGCCAGGCAGGGC